TCCATGCTCATGGATTGGAAGAAAAAATATTATTAAAATGTGTATGCTACCCAAAGCAGTCTACATGTTGAATGCAATCCCTATCAAAATACCATCAGCATTGGGACGCCTGGGTGCCTCAGTCGGTTAAGTGTTTGCCTTCAGCTCAGGTCATGATCTCAGGGTCCTGGGATCAAGTCCTGCATCGGGCTCCTTGCTTGGCAGGGAGCCTGCTTCTCCCTCTGCCTGCCGCTCCCCCTACTTGTGCTTCTCTGACAAATAAATAAAATCTTAAAAAAAAAAAATACCACCAGCATTTTTCAGAGCTAGAACAATCCTAAAATTTGTATGGAACTAGAAAAGATCCCTAATAGCCAAGATAATGTTGAAAAAGAAAATCAAAGCTGGAGGTGTCACAGTTCCAGACTTCAAGCTGTATTACAAAGCTGTAATCATCAAGACAGTATGGTACTGGCACAAAACAGACACATAGATCAATGGAACAGAATAGAGAGCCCAGAAATGGACCCTCAACTCTATGGTCAACTCATCTTTGACAAAGCGGGAAAGAATGTCCAATGGAAAAAAGACAGTCTCTTCAACAAATGGTGTTGGGAAAACTAGACAGCCACATGCAGAAGAATGAAACTGGACCACTTTCTTACACCATGCACAAAAAATAAACTCAAAATGGAATAAGACCTAAATGTGAGACAGGAATCCATCAAAATCCTAGAGAACACAGGCAGCAACCTTTGACCTCAGCTGCAGCAACTTCTTAGTAGACATGTCTCCAAAAGCTAGGGAAAGAAAAGCAAAAATGAACTATTGGGACTTCACCAGGATAAAAAGCTTTTGCACAATCAAAAGGAAACAATCAACAAAACTAAAAGGAAACCTATGGAGTGGGAGAAGATATTTGCAAATGACGTATCAGATAAAGGGCTAGTATCCAAAACATAAAAACATATCAAACTCAATACCCAAAAAACAAATAACTTACAAATCACTTACAATTCCACTACCTAGAGGTAAACACTATTTTTAGCATTTGTCCTCTGAATTTTCATTTAATTGTGAATTATTAATGATGTGGTATAGTTATCTGTGAAACAAAAAATTCTGGAGATATATACATCAACCTTCAAATAGTGCTAAGCCTAGAAGATAGAATAATGAGGAACCTTTCTTTCTACATATTATAATTCTACAGTATGTGGAATTTCAAAGAGTAGGTATTATTTTCATTAACTATATATAAATAAACTATATATAATATCTTATAGAGCATGTAGTATATCCTTATATCCATTTATATTTTTAAAATATATTTTTTAATGTTTTTGTTTAAAAATTTTCAGCCGTATTGGTGATAATTGCCCCACTTATCATAATTTGACATGTCCTCCAAATATGTAGAATTAATCTGTTGAATTGGGGATTACTTATGTCTAATGACTTTAGAAGTATCTTTTTATTAACAAATATAATGAATCATCACATATTCATGTTCTGGCTGTAAAACCGAACAAAATATGACCATAGCTTATTTCTTTAAAACAGATATAGCTTTTTCTCAGATCTCTTTCAAACAAGTAAAACTTAATTTGTGAAAATAACATTTTATTTTCATTTTGATTTTAAATCATGGCTTAAAATTTGTGATCAAAATTATATTCATCCAGTTAGGCAATATTTGCACCATTATTGGTCTTTTCTATTTCTGTCTCTTGGTAGCTTACCTTACTATTTGGTTTATAAGTACCCTTACTATCCATAAATTATCAAAAAAAATGTTTACATAAAGAAAGTGAGGTTAGGGTAAGAGAGGTGACTTTAGTTCCCATACAGACTTCTGAACCCCAACCACATTAAACTGCCTCTCAAATATGTGTATTTGCTCACGTAACAAGATTTACATTGTGTTTTATCAGATACTAACCTTAAAATATTTTCTGTGACCTTTGCAGTATAGGATTTTATTGATGATATACCATCAGTTTCAGTAGTCCTACACAGTCTTTTTAGTAAGTATGAATAGGTTAATTCAGTGAATTTATCAGCATTACTGTAAAAATATTTCAAAATATATTTACTGCTGTGGTCATAAACCCTCATACTAGCTGCATCATTTCTAGATACTAAAAACATTTTTTGTGTGAGAGACAGACAGACATGACTGCACTCAAAGGAACTAAAATTTTTATATTCTGAAAACCATGACTTTATTTCTCTGTGCCTTAATCTTCCTCATCTATAATGTGGATAGTAACTACTTGATCAGATTCTTGGTGAGAATTAATGAGATAATAACACTTAAATAAGCACTCTAAACGGTTCCTCACACATCAGACCTCAGTAAATGCTAACTGTGATTATCACTGATCCATAAATAGGATGGATTGATCCTTCGTATAATTTTTCATAGGCAAAGTTTGCACCAAATTAAAATCTAAATAAGGCTCAGAGGGACCCACATATGTTTTTCATGTCTTCAGAAAGGTAACTCGTATTAATTAACCAAATAAAATATGTCAGTTTAATAAAATATGTCAGTGTTATAAATGTTCTAAAGAAGGCTTACCTCGGGGCGCCTGGGTGGCTCAGTCGTTAAGCGTCTGCCTTCGGCTTAGGTCAGGATCCCAGGGTCCTGGGATCGAGCCCCGCATCGGGCTCCCTGCTCAGCGGGAAGCCTGCTTCTCCCTCTTTCACTCCCCCTGCTTGTGTTCCCTCTCTTGCTGTGTCTCTTTCTGTCAAATAAATAAATAAAATCTTTTAAAAAAAAAAAAGGCTTACCTCATGTTTTGGAAATAATCTATTTTATAAGATCCTAGAAAATTCCAAAACTCTTTGGATCATACATGTTTACTGATGACATAGCATCAGTATCAGTATTCCTCGTGGTCTTTTTAAAAAGCATGAGTAGTTATTAGAAAAATTTATGTCATAGGAGCCATCCCGATGAGATGTAACTAATTCTTCAAAATATTCTGTATACATAAATCATACTGTTTTTAAAGTAATTTAAATGTTAATTCAAATAAGAGTTTTCCTCACAAAGTGATTTACTTAGTACTGAAATATGTGCAATATAAAAATATTCTTCTGTTTATAAAACAAAAGTGCCTTTAAAGTTATTAGTTACATTTTTAGTGTGTAATTCAGTTTTCTCTTGACTTGCTCTATGGCAGGAGTTCTCAAAAAGTGTTGTTCAGAGAGTCTGCAAGGTCAAACCTAACTTTCGTACCTAGAGTTTACTCTTTGCTTTTTTCATACTCATTCTCTCATGAGTGTACAGTGGTGTTTTCCAGAGGCAGATGATATGCAACAATACAACAGATTGAACATAGAAGTAGATATGAGAATCTGGCTGTCTTCTGTTGAGCCAGACATTAAGGAAATTTGCAAAAATGTAAAATACCATTCTTCTAAAAAATTTTCAGTTTTGGAAAATGTACTTATTTTTCATAAAAAATGTTATTTATGTTAACCTGTAATGGCTTTAGTTATTATCTTTGAAGAGATTAGTAAATATTTTGAAATATTCCCAGTTTTCACTCCTAATATGGTAAACTTTAATAGAAATTCACTCTCCCTCCACTATCATGGTAAAGTCTTGACTCTTTAATATACCATGTGCTTATTTTTTTTAATTTAATTTTATTATGTTAATCACCATACATTACATCATTAGTTTTTGATGTAGTGTTCCATGATTCATTGTTTGCATATGACACCCAGTGCTCCATTCAGTACGTGCCCTCTTTAATACCCATCACCAGGCTAACCCATCCCCCCACCCCCCCATTTGTTTCAGAGGTACAGGTCTGTGATTCATCAGTCTTACACAATTGACAGTGCTCACCATAGCACATACCCTCCCCAATGTCTGTCACCCAGCTACCCCATCCCTCCCACCCCCCACCACTCCAGCAACCCTCAGTTTGTTTCCTGAGATTAAGAATTCCTCATATCAGTGAGATCATATGATACATGTCTTTCTCTGATTGACTTACTTTGCTTAGCATAATACCCTCTAGTTCTATCCACGTCAGTGCAAACAGCAAGATTTTTTTGATGGCTGCATAATATTCCATTGTATATATATACCACCTCTTCTTTATCCATTCATCTGTTGATGGACATCTTGGCTCTTTCCATAGTTTGGCTATTGTGGACATCGCTGCTATAAACATTGGGGTGCTGTACCCCTTCAGATCACTACATTTGTATCTTTGGGGTAAATACCCAGTAGTGCAATTGCTGGGTCACAGGGTAGCTCTAGTTTCAACTTTTTGAGGAACCTCCATACTGTTTTTCAGAGTGGCTGCACCAGCTTGCATTCCCACTAACAGTGTAGGAGGGTTCCCCTTTCTCCACATCCTCGCCAACATCTGTCGTTTCCTGACTTGTTAATTTTAGCCATTCTGACTGGTGTGAGATGGTATCTCATTGAGGTTTTTATTTGGATTTCTCTATGCCGAGCGATATTGAGCACTTTTTCATATGTCTGTTGGCCATTTGGATGTGTCCATCAAAATCCTAGAGGAGAACACAGGCAGCCACCTCTTCAACCTCAGCCGCAGCAACTTCTTCCTAGAAACATCGCCAAAGGCAAGGGAAGCAAGGGCAAAAATGAACTATTGGGACTTCATCAGGATAAAAAGCTTTTGCACAGCAAAAGAAACAGTCAACAAAACCAAAAGACAACCAACAGAATGGGAAGAGATATTTGCAAATGACATACCAGATAAAGGGCTAGTATCCAAAATCTATAAAGAATTTATCAAACTCAACACCCAAAGAACAAATAATCCAATCAAGAAATGGCAGAATACATGAACAGACATTTTTCCAAAGAAGACATCCAAATGGCCAACAGACACATGAAAAAGTGCTTGTTTTTTATGACCTAAGAGTTACAATTTTATTTTTTATCAAAATTATTATCCTAAATATTTTTATTGGGTATTAATCAATTTTTGAAAACCTAAACAATTTATAAATGTCTTAATTTACAGGTTACAAGCACAAGGAAACAGTATAATATACAGATTTCTCGACTAAAAGAAGAACTTTCAGCCCTTCAAATGGTATGTTAGAAGACTATATTGATATTTTCTTCTGAATATTGATTATTTTAAAGGCCAGGATGCATTTTAATGTATCTTGTAATGGGCATTCTTGTTCATTCAGAAGATACTTATTAAGCCAGGAATTATGCTAGATGCTCGGAGCAGAGTAAAAATCAAAATAAACATGTTACCTGCAATCTTGGAACTTATGGTCTAGCAAGAAAGATCGATGGCATTTATCAGATTTTACTACAATTACTTTTTTTGACAAAGAACACACAGGGTGCTATTGAAGCACCCATCTGCAACTGCTACCATATGCCAGGTTCATCTGGGAGATGAGGGAGAAAGAGAACGTATATATGACAGTGGGAAAGAAGAAAGACAAGCTTCCCAAAAGAAATGAGTACTGAAATATAAATAAGCAAAGAGGAGAAAGGAAAAGAGAACTTGTGTGTCTAGAGGTGAAATTAAATATAAATTTAACAACAAGATTTGATGAAATGGAATTTAATAGCCTTGTTTACGGTGGAATAAAAGTACAAGAATTTTCAGAGATTGGGAAGATATTTTCAACTTCACAAACTCTAATTTTCTGAATCTCTATATTGCTTTTAATCTTGACTACAAAACTTAGCAATGAATAATGTTTTGTAATAAATATGTTACATTATGTTAGTTCTCTCTGTCTCCTGTCTCCCTCCTACCTTCTCCCTTCCTCTTTCTTCTTGAAAATCTTACCTTTCCAATTAGATTGTAAATACCTCAAAGTAGAAGAGTCTTAAGCCTCCTTTTATTTTCCCCATTGCCTAGCACAGTGTTTTCACAGCATGTTCTTTAATAAATATTTACTGACTGGTATTTAAACAACTCTGAAAGAAGGAGCACATGTTCCACATTCTACAAACTCTGTAATGTACATGATGAGACCTTTGTCTTTGTGTATAGATCCTGAGAGTAATAGAATAAGAAATTGTTACTTATTGTTTGTTTAATGTCATCTGTTTTAAGGATGGAGGAATATTAAGTAAAATTAGTGGGATGCCATGTGGCCAATTAGTCATGTTTAATTATTTGTTGTTTTTCAGTTTTGCTTCCTCTTCTATCACCTTCCTATTTTGCTTGTTCTCTTACGTGGACTGATTTAGCTATCAACAGATTCACAGCTTAGAAAAAGAAGGTCCTACCCCAGTCCAGCATCATTTAATGGCTTGTAAACTCTGAAAGGACAAGAACACTATTTCTTTCTCTTTCCCCAAAGGAATGTGTATTGGATAAGATCTGCAGCAATTTTTAAAATAATAACTCTTAACAACCACAACCAGAGTTATATAAACTCACTTTAGAGCAAAAATTTTTATTTCAGTTTATTACAAAAGGTGTTTCTTATGATTTATAGTAAAACAATTGTAATCCATAGCTAAGTGGATTTTTCCAAAGATATTAAATATTATCTGATGTCATACTGATTCCATGGGGAAAACTGTGCTGATTAATTGAAAAGTGTTTTAAATATTAGGCATTGAGAAATATGCCTGAAGGAAGACACTTTAAAGAGCAGATTTTCTCAGGTAACTCAAAAACTCAGACTATGGTTTGAGACATAATAACCTGACATTGGCTATTGATTTATATTCTTAAGTACTGAAGTCAAGGAGAGAAGTTAAGCATACTTTAGCTAACCCAAAACTAAGTTATGCTTGTAGGAAGGAGAAAAACTTGTGTTTTAGGTTAGTGTGCAGATTTTTTGATAGGTTTAAGAAAAGACCAGAGCCGGTCTAGCCACATATCTCCCTTTGGAAAGCAGCACAGCTTTTACTTTCTCCTACAGGGTACAGTTTCTTTTAAGAATACTCAAGGTTGGGGCGCCTGGGTGGCTCAGATGGTTAAGCATCTGCCTTCGGTTCAGGTCATGATTCCAGGGTCCTGGGATTGAGCTCCATGTCTGGTTCCTGGCTCAGCGGGGATCCTGCTTCTCCCTCTGCCTCTCCCCCTGCTCGTGCTCTCTCTCTCTCTCTCTCTGTATCTCTGTGTCTCAAATGAATAGATAAAATCTTTAAAAAAAAAAATACTCAAGGTTTTTTGGGTGTTGAGTTTAAGAAGTTCTTTATAGATCTTGGATATCAGCCCTTTGTCTGTAGTGTTATTTGCAAAAATCTTCTCTCATTCCATGGGTTGCCTCTTTGGTTTGTTGACTGTTTCCTTTGCTGTACAGAAGCTTTTTATCTTAAGTCCCAAAAGTTCATTTTCGCTTTTGTTTCGCTTGCCTTTGGGGACGTGTCTTGAAAGAAGTTGCTGTGGCTGATGTCGAAGAGGCTACTGGATTTTGATGGATTCCTGTCTCACATTGAGGTCTTTCATCCATTTTGAGTTTATCTTTGTGTATGATGTGAGAGAATGGTTGAGTTTCATTCTTCTCTATATAGCTGTCCAATTTTCCCAGCACTGCTTATTGAAGAGACTTTTTTCCATTGCATTTTTTTTTCCTGCTTTGTCGAAGATTATTTGACCATAGAGTTGAGGGTCCATATCTGGGTTCTCTATTCTGTTCTGTTGGTCTATGTGTCTGTTTTTGTGCCAGTACCATGCTGTCTTGGTGATCACAGCTTTGTAATACAGCTTGAAATCAGGCAACGTGATGCTCCCAGCTTTGTTTTTCTTTTCCAACATTTCCTTGGCTATTCAGGGTCTTTTCTGATTCCATACAAATTTTAGGATTGTTTGTTCCAGCACTTTAAAAAATGCCATTGGAATTTTGATAGGGATGGCGTTGAAGGTATAGATTGCTCTGGGCAGCATAGACATTTTAACAGTTTTTATTCTTCCGATCCTTGAGACGATGACTGGATAAAGAAGATGTGGTCCATATATACAATGGAATATTAGCCATCAGCAAGGATGAATACCCAACTTTCTCATCAACATGGATGGGACTGGAAGAAATTATGCTAAGTGAAATAAGTCAAGCAGAGAAAGTCATTTATCATATGGTTTCACTTATTTGTGGAACATAAGGAATGGAGGACATTAGGAGAAGGAAGGGAGAATTGAAGGGGAGGAAGTCAGAAGGGGAGCCATGAGAGACTATGGACTCCGAGAAACAAACTGAGGGCTTTAGAGGGGATGGGGTGGGGGGATGGGTTAGCCCAGTGATGGGTGTTAAGGATGGAGCACTGGGTGTTATATGCAAACAGTGAATCATGGAACACTACATCAAAAAGTAATGACATACTGTATGGTGACTAACATAATAAAATTTAAAAAAATTAAAAAGCAAAAAAAAAAATACTCAAAGTTTTAATTCTGCCAACTAGCAGAATTTGATTACAACAAATGAGTAAGAAGATTGGTTATTAATTTTATACAATTTAAATGAAAAGTTCCTTATGATCTTTTTTGGGTCAGTGAATTTAAAAAAAAAATTTTTTTTTTAATTTTGAATCTCCACATCCGTAGGTATTTAGATATCTTTTTATTGTTTTCTAATCCAGTTAAATAGATGGCACAGATTATAATCTATATGATATTGATTCTTTTTTTTTTTTTTTAAGATTTTATTTATTTATTTGAGAGAGAGAGAATGAGAGACAGAGAGCATGAAAGGGAGGAGGGTCAGAGGGAGAAGCAGACTCCCTGCCGAGCAGGGAGCCCCATGCGGGACTCGATACTGGGACTCCAGGATCATGACCTGAGCTGAAGGCAGTCGCTTAACCAACTGAGCCACCCAGGCGCCCTATATGATATTGATTCTTAATATTTGTTATGATTTTCCTTATGGTAGACTATATAGGATATGATTTTGAAAATACTCCATGAGTACTTGAAAAAATATTTAGTATCATTTGGTCATATCTTTCCCAAAAGGTAGGAGTATTGGTGGTGATTAATAGCAAATGTCCATGAAAGCTTTTTAATAATAGTAATTTTAAATGTTTGCTTTAGCATTACAGTGAATTTTTAATAGAATTAATATATTTCTCTATAAAGGTTTCAACTTTTCTGTCTTATTTTAACTTTATTTGAGGTTAACCCAATACTCTTTCAGTCCTCATTTTATCAGTGAAATGGTGGATTGTGTGGAGAGAGATGCATAGTGTATTTATCATGTACCTTTCTTTATATGTCATTCACCAGATTCAGAAGTGTGATCCAACCTGGTTATTAATATCTACATTAAAAATCATATGGGAATCATATCAATAGCTGCAGAAAAAGCATTTGACAAAATCCAACCCCCATTCATGATAAAAACTCCCAGTAACTAGAAACAGAGGGGAACTTCCTCAACTTGATAAAGAATATCTACAAAAAGCCTACAGCTGTGAAACCCAAAAGCTTTCCCAGTAAGATCAGGAACAAGGCAATCATGTGCCCTCTCACCACTGCTTTACAACATCAAGCTGGAAGTACTCTAATGCAATTTGACTAAAAAAGGAAATAAACGTTGTACAGATTGGGAAGAAAGAAATTTGTTTGCAGATGACATGATTGTCTATGTAGAAAACAAACCAAAAAAAAGAACAAAAAAACTGTGGAGCAAAAAAACAATTACAGCATACAAGGTTGCAGGATACAGGGATAATATACAAAAGTCAAGTGTTTTCCCATATACCAGCAATGAACAAATGGAATTTTAAATTAAAAACATTGTGCCATTTACCTTAGTACATAAAAAAATTACTAAGTTATATATCTAACAAATTTGAGGAAAACTCTGATGGAAGATATCAAAGAATAAGTAAATAAATGAAGAGATAGCCCATGTTCATGGATAGGAAGACTCAAAGTCAAAATGTCAGTTCTTCCCAGTCTGACCTATAGATTGAGTACAATCCCAGTCAAAATCCCAGCAAGTTATTTTGTGGATATTGACAAACTGATTCTAAAGTTTATCTGGAGAAAACAGTTAGTATCCAAAATCTATAAAGAACTTATCAAACTCAACACCCAAAAAACAAATAATCCAGTTAAGAAATGGGCAGAAGACATGAATAGACACTTTTCCAAAGAAGACATCCAGATGGCCAACAGACACATGAAAAGATGCTCAGCATCACTCATTATCAGGGAAATACAAATCAAAACACAATGAGATACCACCTCACACCTGTCAGAATGGCTAAAATTAATAGCACAAGAAACAACAAGTGTTGGTGAGGATGCAGAGAAAGGAGAACACTCTTGCATTGTTGGTGGGAATGCAAACTGGTGCAGCTGCTGTGGAAAAGTGTGGAGGTTCCTCAGAACGTTAAAAATAGAACTACACTATGATCCAGCAGTTACACTACTAGGTATTTACCCAAGGGATAAAAAAATACAGATATGAAGGGGTACATACACCTCAATGTTTATAGCAGCATTATCAATAATAGCCAAACTATGGAGAGAGCTCAAATGTCCATTGACTGATGAATGGATAAAGAAGAGGTGTTATATATATGGGAATATTACTCAGCCATCAAAAAGAATGAAATCTTGCCATTTGCAACAATGTGGATGAAGCTAGAGTGTATTATACTAAGCAAAATAAGTCAATCAGAGAAAAATACCATATGATCTCACTCATATGTGGAATTTAGGAAATGAAACAAATGAACATATGACAAGGGGAGAAAAAGACAGAGAGAGGAAAACAAACCATAAGAGACTCTTAACAATAGAGAACAGGGCACCCGGGTGGCTTAGTTGGTTAAGCGTCTGCCTTCGGCTCAGGTCATGATCCCAAGGTCCTGATATTGAGTCCCAGGTCGGGCTCCCTGCTCAGCTCCCTACTCAGCAGGGAGTCTGCTTCTCCCTCTGCCTCCCCCTCCCCCGCTCATGTGCACATGCGCACTCTCTCTCTTTCTCAAATAAAATCTTGAAGAAAAAAAAAAAACAATAGAGAACAAACTGAGGGCCAGTGGAGGGAGGTGGATAAAGGTTGGGCTAAATGGGTGTTGGGTATTAAGGAAGGCGCTTGTTATGTTGAGCACTAGGTGTTGAATATAAGTGATGAATCACTGAATTCTACTCCTGAAACCAATATTGCACTGTATGTTACTAATTAGAATTTAAATAAAAATTCAAAAAATAATAATTTTTAAATAAATAAAACTTATCTGGAGAGACAAAAGACCCAAAAATAGCCAACACAGTATTAAAGGAGAAGAACAAAATCAGAGGACTGACACTACCAGATTTCAAGAATTACTATAAAGCTATAATAAGCTAGCATGATATTGGTGAAAAAATAGACAAATGGAATAAAATACAGAATCTGGAATGGGATAAAATATAGTCCCACATAAATGCAGTCAGCTGATCATTGACAAAGATGCAAAGGCAATACAATGATTCAAAGACAATCTTTTTAGCAAATGGTGCTAGGACAATTAGACATTCACATGTAAAAGAATGAATATAGACAAAGACCTTACACCCTCCACAAAAATTAATTCAAAATGGTCACAGACCTAAATGTAAAACACAAAACTATAAAATTCATAGAAGATAAATAGAAGAAAATCTGGATGATCTTGGGTTTGGCAGTGAATTTGGGGGTATAACATCAAAGGCATGACCCATGAAACAATTGATAAGTTGGACTGAATTAAAATGAAAAATTTCTCTGTGAAAGACCCTGTCAAGAGAATGAAAATTCAAACCACAGACAGGGAGAAAATATTTGCAAAAGGCATAGCAGATAAAGGACTATTATCCAAAATATATGAAGAACTCTTAAAACTTAACAATAAGAAAACAACTCAATTAAAAAGTGGGCATGTGGGGCACCTGGGTGGCTCAGTTGTTAAGCATCTGCCTTCGGCTCAGGTCATGGTCCCAGGGTCCTGGAATCGAGCCCCACATCGGGCTCCCTGCTTGGCAGGGAACCTGCTTCTCCCACTCCCACTCCCCTGCTGTATTCCCTCTCTCCCTGTCTCTCTCTCTGTCTGTGTCAAATAAATAAAATCTTTAAAAAAAAAAAAATAAGAAGTGGGCACATGTTGTGATGAGCACTGGGTGTTATATGCAACTAATGAATCAGTGGCTAACTGAACATAATAAAAAAAAAAAAAAGTGGACCAAAGATCTTAACAGACACCCCATCAAAGGAGATATGCAGATGGCATATAAGATTATGAAAAGATGCTACACATCATATTTCACCAGGAAAGTGCAAACTAAAACAATAATGAGCTGCTACTCATTACACCAAATATGTACTAGATACACCTATTACAATGGCCAAAATTCAGAACACTGACACCACCCAACTCTGGGAAAGATGTGGAGCAACAGGAATTCTCAATTCATTCATTGCTGGTGGAAATGCAAAATGGTATAGCCACTTTTGAAGGCAGTGTGATGGTTTCTTACAAAACTAAATATACTCTTACTATATGGTCCAACAATTGCACTCTTCTGTATTTACCCAAAAGAGTTGAAAACATATCCACACAAAAACCTGAACATTCAGGATGTTTATAGCAGCTTTGTTCACAGTTGCCAAAACTTGGAAGCAACCAAAATGTCCTTTGGTTAGGCAAATGGACAAATAAACTGGTACATCCAGACAATGGAGTATTATTCAGCACTAAAAAGAAATGAGCTATCAAGCTATGAGAAGACATGGGGGAAACTAAAATGTGTATTATTAAGTGAAAGAAGCTAGTCTGAAAAGGCTACATACTGTTTGATTCTAATTGACAGTCTGGGAAAGGCAAAACTATGAAGACAGTAAAAACGTTTTCAGGGGTTTAGGAGGAGAGAGGGATGAATAAGCATAGGTGAAGCACAGAGGATTTTTAGAACAGTGAAACTACTCTGTATGGTACTATAATGGTGGGTACATGTCATTGCAAGTTTATCCAAACCTGTAAAATGTATAGCACCAAGAGTGAACTCAAATGTAAACTATGGGCTTTGAGTGATAATGTTGTGTCAGTGTAGGTTCATCAGTATTAATAAATATACCATTACAGTGAGGGATGTTGAAAATGGGGGAGGGCTCTGCACATATGGGGACAAGAAATATAGTGGAAATCTCTAACTTGTCAATTTGCTGTTAACCTAAAACTGCTCTAAAAATAGTCTTTTAACAATCACATAAGATGAGTTATGAACATAGGAGAAATCCCAAATTTCACACCATAAAACCACTTTTTTATAGATTAGCAATTTACTGTATGAACATATGGCACATTAAAGTTTCATTTCTTGTACACTAACAATTCTGCCTTAATGAAAGATAATAAATTTGGATCAATCATCTGATTAGTAACATAGGGTTAAGGGTCTTCATTATAATCAGAATTCATTTGGGGTCACAATTTAGAAGCTCATTTTAAAATTTAAAACCATTGATATACAGTACTTCTGTAAAATAGAGTTATGCTAAAGATAATTGAATATCAGTAGTGTACTGCCAGTAAGGAGGTTCATCCAAAGCATAAAATACAATTAATAGAAAATAATCACACCCATTCTCGAAAATAAATAGATAAAAACAAATAGCTATGAGGAACCAGTCATTATAAATGGTTGTTTCAGTTTTACTCTCATTTGCAAAATACTAAATTTTATCAACTGATTGATATGCTTGCTCAGTTTTACTGATTAAAACCTTTGGAGCAGAAATGTTTTATGATCATGCTAATAAAATTTTTACTGTGTCCATTGGCTCTCTTCTCTTTTTTTTTGAGAGAACATGTGAACAGAGGGTGGGGGAGGAAAAGGGCAGAGGTAGAGGGAGAGAGAGAATCTTGAGCAGACTCCCCACTGAGCACAGAGCCCAGTGCAGAATTTGATCTCACAACCCTGAGATCATGACCTGAGCTGAAATCAAGAGTCAGACGCTTACCAACTGAGCCACCAGGTGGCTCTTTATAAGTTTTGCAAAAAAAAAAAAGTTTTAGAATTTATTTATATACCTTTGTGCCTTTTAGACCACAGGTTATCCTCAGGGTGTTGTGTCACTGTCCAGTTCTGTGTTCCTTTTCAAAATAAGTCGTAAGAGTATATGAATAAAACTAATGTGAGAAAAGGGTCTCATTTTTTTCTCTCTAGAATCCCTCAACCTCTGTCACCAATTTAGAATGTTTACTTAGAACTCCTGAGATAGGTAGCTCTTTGAAGATGGAGGTTTTTTGGTTTTGTTTTTGCTTAATAATCAGTATGGTCCTGCTGTATTGATAGGGTAAGTGTGGTATTCTTGTTATGAACAAATCATTTTATGTATCCATTTTTTCTTAAGATTTTACAAATATATTTATTTCCAATATGAATTGAATTTATAGGAGTGTGCTGAAAAACAAGGACAAATTGAACGAGCCATTAGGGAGAAAAAAGCAGTGGAAGGAGAACTAGAAAAGGTAAAAAAAAACAAAAAACAAAAACCTAACCTAAAACTCAACTGCAAATGCTCACTATTACTCTCCACTTTCATCACACTGCCTACTAGCAACCCCTACATTGTAAGTGAGTGTTTTTATTTGGAATATATTCACAGTCAACACTTAAATACTAGTATTGCCTGAATACATTTCTTTGTAAGAGTGGCCACAGTATATGTACTTTTTACTTAAAGGTATAAATTTTATGAAGTAGCTATATTCCTTGTTTAAACTTCATCCCAATAGTAAATTTTACTTGGTCTCCCTTCTGTTTTTAAATTTAATGCCAACTTTTATTGGGTGTAAGCTATTTATAAAAACAAGTATATATAACTAGAAAATTATATCATTACTCTAATTTTAACCTTTTAAAAGTATAGATTTTTATTTCTTAAGTAGGAAAATATTACCCCAATGATATTTGAGAAAAAATAATGTGAAAAGTCTATACTTTAAAATTTTATTTCTTATTTAAATAACTTTTTTACCATCAGTAAATATCCCACTCTCTTAAAATGCCTTGGGAAAACAGGGAAATGAAACTTGATGCAGCATATACTGTGTTTTAAGTGCTGCCTTAGGAACTCACAGAGGTTAAGTAACTTACCCACGCTAACAAGTAGTAAATGGTAGAGCCAGAATTTGATGTCCAAAGAAGAACTACATAGTATAAAAAGCATGTGACATATCTGTATTAGTGACATAAAAAGATAATGACATCAGATAGTAAAAGAGTCACAAAAGCAGCATTTAGCAAAAGTATATATGTCATGTTCCAGGTAGGACATTTATGGTCACCAGTCTCCTGTGAGGTTGATTCCTTCTGAGTTACTGTTATGGAATAGGGATAGATCCCATTTAGATTGCTACCTACTGTACATCATGGCTGGGATAAATTTTTTAAATCACATGGCATAGATTAAGGAATAGGCTTAATTGGGGAAATGTAAAACAAGACTAAAGACAACAGGTAAAGAAAAGGCACAGGATATACACGTGTCTGTATTTTAGTAGTGGGACATTAACTTGCTGATATCCTACCTTTTTATAGAGCAGGAGTGACAAAGCAGTCTTTTCAGTGGGAGAAGATACAGGTTGCTTGACCAGGCAGTCTGGATTTAGGGGGTAGCTATGGGTAGAATTTGTCTGAAATGTGAGCTGCTTAGCACCTGGAGACTTTACAGTTCTCAGGATGTTACAGCCCCTGTGTTGTGGTAGGAAGCCTGTCTTATAAGAAGCTGAGCTTGGGTACACCCACTCCTGTTGGGAAAAGAGGCACCCCCCTTTCAGTTAGATTATGGTCTAGTTAATCCAGAGTAAGATTATAGAATCACTTTCAGATAGTTCTGTTTATTGCACCATAGCATATGTCTGTATTCTTTAATATCAGAATACAGAACTGTCTTTTTTTTTTTTTTAAGATTTTATTTATTTATTTGAAAGAGAAAACATGCATGAGCATACTCGCCACTGAGCAGAGAGCCCAAAGCAGGGCTCAATCTCAGGATCCCAAGATCATTACCTGAGCCAAAGACAGACACTTAACCAACTGAGCCACCAGGTGTGCCTGAATATAGAATTGTCTTGAAGGGTGTTCAAAACAATTTAATCAAAACAGTTATCTCTAATTGGTGACATTTAGAATATTTCTTTTCTTTCAATATTTTACATTTCTTTTTAAAATAATAAAACTATCCCCAGGACCAAATGGCTTCACAACATATTCTACCAAACAGTTGAAGAGTTAATACCTATTCTTCTCAAACTATTCCAAAGAACAGAAAAGGAAGGAAACCTTCCAAATTCATTCTGTGAGGCCAGCTTCACCCTGACCAGGTAAAGACACTACTAAACAGAACTGCAGACCATTATCCCCAATGAACATAGATGTAAAAATCCTCAATAAAAATACTAGCAAATTGAATCCAGCAATACATTAAAAAAATCATTCACCATGATCAAGTGAGATTTATTCCTGGGTTGCCAGAGTGGTTCAATATTTGCAAATCAATCAACATGACACATCACATTAATGAAAGGATAAAATAAATAATTTTTTAAATAACATATTAAAACTAGTTTACAGTGAGCATGAATACTTTCAAAAATAATTTTTATGTGTCAGTTTTCAACATTTTTTAAATATGAAATAACCAAAGTTACTGATATGTCTTACTGTGTAACGATGGGAACAAATGAACACATGATTATGGGTTTTTATTTATCATTGATTTCAGTTTCTAAACTGTAATTTCTTAAGACAGTTTTCTTCTGTAAGGTAATATACATATAATCTTTTGCAGATTTACCATGAAGGTAGAGTAAATCAAAGTGATTACAGAAAACTAGAAGAAATGCACCAAAGATGTCTGGTTGCAGAGCGTTCAAAAGATGATCTTCAACTAAGACTTAAGACAGCAGAAAATAAAATAAAACAACTTGAAATAAAGTAAGTTATTCTTTTCGATTTTCTGTTAACATTTTCAGAATTCATACACTTTCTGACAGATTCTTTACTTTTTTTAAAATAGGACTTACATATATGATGAAAAAAAACTTTTTAGCACCAAATAGAATCTTTTAAGCGTCTTTCTTTCTTTTTTTTTTTTTTTAAGATTTTATTTATTTACTTTACAGAGAGAGAGCACAAGCAGGGGAAGCAGCAGGCAGAGGGAGAGGGATAAGCAGGCCCCCCGCTGAGCAAGGAGACTGATGTGGGGCTCGATCCCAGGACCCTGGGATCATGATCTGCACTGAAGGCAGACGCTTAACCAACTGAGCCACCCGGTTGCCCCTTTAAGCTTATTTCTGAAAACTAATTTCCTCAGGAAGAAAAGATTTAACAGTATTATACCGTTTTATTTTAAATTTCTCCCTTTTGGCAGTTAAATAGAATGCTAATAAGACTGAGTTCTTTTCATACTAACTATGCAGCTTTTACAGTAGCTTCCTTATAATTATTGCTTTTATACTCAGTTTATACTTACATTTCTTTTGTTATTGAATATTCTATAATAATCCATCATGTTTATTTATTACATTGTCTACTAAAATGGTAAATTTATAGTCTGGCATATCCCTTCTGAATATTTTTCTACCTTTTCCCCCAGAGTGTTATTTAATACAGTAAAACTTAATTTGAATTACGTGAAATCTCAGTCTGTTACAGAATATGTTTAATATTTTAAAAATAAAGAGGAATAATGTCAGCAACACAGTGGAATGAATTGGAGGTACCCAGCCCATGTCCCTCCACAGAAAAATATATGAAAGGCATCCCTGGACAAAAATGCCTTTGTGAGAGCTTTGGGATCCAGGTAGGAGGTTACAAAACACTGCTGGAGCCCAAAAACAGGGAGGGAAGCTTACGCACCAGTGGCAGTGCACACTATGGTCCCATCTACCTATGGTCTTGGCTCTAAGCCTACTTGTCTGCAGTCCTACACCTGGCCCCCTCCACCAAGGGACTCAAAAAAGCCATCCCTGTGGGTACTTCTGATAACAGATCTGCCCTCAGAGCTGACTGTTGTTCTGCATCCCAGCTCTAGTTCCACTCTCTTATGGTGTGGAGGCAGTCCTGCTCTCCCAGGAACCAGCCCAGTAAACTGATGGGAGTATTAACTGTTGCCCAGCAGAAGTCATACCTGACTGCAGACTTAGCAAAAACCACAAGACATGGATCCAGCAGTGCTCTACCACAATTTGAGGTAGTCTTTCATTGCCAGGAATCCACCCAAAAGACCCAGCAGAAGCCACACTTGTAGATGCTTCCAGTTAAACACCCACTGACCTCAGACCTGAGTACAATCCCTGAGGCAGTCTTGTGACCCAACTTTAGTCCCACTCTACCACAGTCCAAAAGCAGTCCTACCCACCCATGGACCAGCCCAGTGACATGACAGGAGCGCCCTTAGGAACCCATGGGACACAACACCTGACTGTACCCCGATGACATGCTTGCCAACCATGAACCTGCCAATAGCCACATGACATGGTTTCAGCCTTACTCAACCACAATCCCAGAAGCAGCCCTATCAGTTGTAGGACTTGGCGGGATAAAGTCTACCTGCCAAAATAAGTCTATAAAGACTGGAAGAGGAATCTGCTTTTTCAAATACACAGATACCAAGAAAGAATCAGACAAACATGTCAACACCAAAGGAAGCTAATGAAGCTGTACTAACTGACCCAAAAGAAACAGAGACCCATGAACTGCTTGACAAAAATTTTAAATGTTGTCTTAAAGAAACTCAGTTGACTATGAGAGAACACATTCAACTAAATGAAATCAGAAAAATGATACATGAACAAAATGAGAAGTTTAACAAAGAAATAGAAACCATTAAAAAGAAACAAATCCTGGAGCTGAAGAACTGAACTGAAAAATTCTATAGAGTTTCAGCATCAGACTTGATCATGCAGAAGAAAATCAGCAAACTTGAAGTTAGGTCATTTGAAATCATCTAGTTAGAGGAACAAAGAGAAGAAAGAATGAAAGAGTGATGAAAACCTACATGAGTTATGGAACATCTTAAAGTAAACCAATATACACATTATGAAAATCCCAGAAGGAGTACAGAATGAGAAAGGAACAGAAAGTTTATAAAGAAATAATAATAGAAAACTTCCCAAATTTGGGGAGGGAGTTGAACATCCAGATCCATGACACCCAAAGAATCACAAATAGGCTCAACATCAAGAGGTCTTCAGTTAGACACATTATAATCAAATTGCCAAAAATAAAAAAGAATTTTGAAAACAGGAAATGATTCATCACATACAAAGGACTCCCCCCAACCCCTATAAAACTGTCAATGGATTTCTTAGAAGAAACCTTGCAGCAGAGAGAGAGTGGTATGATATATTCAAAGTATTGAAAGAAAAAAACTGCAAACCAGGAATACTATACCCAGCAAAGTTGTCCATCAGAAATGAAGGAGAGATTAAAAATTTTCTTTTTTTTTTTTTAAAGATTTTATTTATTTATTTGAGAGAGAGAATGAGAGACAGCACAAGAGGGAAGAGGGTCAGAGGGAGAAGCAGACCCCCCCGCTGAGCAGGGAGCCTGATGCAGGACTCGATCCCGGGACTCCAGGATCATGACCTGAGCCGAAGGCAGTCGCTTAACCAACTGAGCCACCCACGCACCCTAAAAATTTTCTAAGACAAGCAAAAGCTCAAAAGGGGTTACATCACCATTAGAGTTGCTGTATAAGAAATGCTGAAGAGTTTTTCAAGTGGAAATGAAAGGATACTAGTTAGCAACACAAAAATATATGAAGGTATAAAACTCACTGGTAAAAGTAAGTATATGGTCAAACTCAGAATACTCTGAATGTAATAGTAGTACATAAATCACTTTTAACACTAATATAGAAGTTAAAAGATAAGAGTATTAAAAATAATAGAGGTACAATAGTGTGTTAATTGATATACAATATAAAAACATGTATGACATCAGTAACAAAAATGTGAGGGAGCAGAGAAGTAAAAGTGTGGAGATTTTTATGTGATTGAAGTTAAATTTGTTACAAATTTAAAACTATAAGATGTTTTATGTAAGCCTCATGCTAATCAGAAGAAAAATGTGTAGTAGACAAAAGATAAAGGAATGAAAGCAACCAGTATAAAAATTCAACAAATCGCAAAAAAAGACAGCTAAAATAAGAATAAAGGAACAAAGGAATTGCAAAACAGAAAACAGTTAACAAAATCACAATAGTTATTACCTGTTAATAATTCCTTTTAAGTAGATTAAATTATCTAATCAAAAAACATAGACTAAATGGATTAGAAAATAAGATCCAGCCATATGGTGCTTACTAGAAAGTCACTTTACATTTGAGGAAGCACCTAGGCCAAAAGTGAAGAGATGGCAAAAGATATTCCATACAAATGGTACCCAAAGACAGCAGGGGTATCTTATATCAGACAAATAGACTTAGGTCAAAAATTATCGTGAGACAAAAATGATTATTATATAATGATAAAAAGGGGTTAATTCATCAAGAGAAAATAACAATCATAAAACTATATGCACTCAACATCAGAGCACCTAAATATATAAAGCAAATATTAACAGAGCTGAAGGGAAAAATAGAGAGCAATAAAGTAACAGTAGGAAACTAATAGCTCACTTTCAACAATAGACAGATCATCCAGAAGAGAAAATCAGTAAGAAAACAGTACCCTTGAACAATGCTAAAGACCAAATTGGCCTAACATTCTGTCCTACACACCAGAAGACACATTCTTCTCAAGTGTTGAATTCTCCAGGATCAGATGATAGGCCACAAGTCTTAGCAAATTTAAGAAGATTAAAATTATATCAAGTATCTTTTCCAAGTGCAATGGTATGAAACTACAGATCAGTAACGGGAAGAATATTGGAAAATTAACACACTCTTGAACAATCAGTGGATCAAAAGGGAAATCAAAAATATCCTGACACAAATGAAAATTGAAGCATAATATACCAAAAATTAGGGGATGTAGTAAAATCACTTCTCAGAGGGATGTTTATAGCAAAGTTTTAACAATAAATATACATTAAGAAATCTCTCAAATAAACAACCTAACCATACACCTCAAGAACTAGAAAAAGAAGAAAAATATTAAGCCCAAAAGGAAGGAAGTAACAGAGATAAGAGTAGAAATAGAGAATTTTTACAAAACAATAGAAAAGATCAATAAAACTTTTTTTTTTAAAGATTTTATTTATTTATTTGACAGAGACACACAGAGAGAGGGAACACAAGCAGGGGGAGTGGGAGAGAGAGAAGCAGGCTTCCTGCCAAGCAGGGAGCCCGATGTGGGGCTTGATCCCAGGACCCTGGGACCATGACCCGATCCGAAAGCAGACGCCTAATGACTGAGCCACCCAGGCATCCCTTAAAAGATAAAATTGACAGTCTTTTAGCTAGACTAAGAAAAAAAGACTCAAAATCAGAAATAAAAGAGGGGAGACATTATAGCTGATACTACGCGAATACAAGGGACCATAAGAGACTACTGTGAACATTTATATGCCAACAAATTAGATAAACTTGAAGAAATGGATAAATTTCTAGAAACATACGACCTCCCAAGACTGAATCTGAAAACTAGTAAGGAGATTGAATCAGTAATCAAAAACCTCCTTGGGTTTTGGAAAAGCCTAGAACCAGATGGCTTCACTGGTGAATTCTACTAAACATTTAAAGGAGACTTAAATTCCAGTCCTTCTTAAACTCTTCCAAAAAATTGAAGAGAGAACATTTCCAAACTCATTTTATGAGGCCAGCATTACTCTGATACCAAAACAAGACAAAGACACTATCAGAAAATAGAATACCAGGCTTGGGTGGAGGAATGGTTTAGCCTGGTGATGGGTATTAAAGAGGGCACATATTGAATGGAGCACTGGGTGTTATATGCAAACAATGAATCATGGAACACTACATCAAAAACTAATGATGTAATGTATGGTGATTAACATAAGAAAATAAAATTTAAAAAAAAGAAAATAGAATACCAGGCTTAATATCCATGATGAACACAGATGTAAAAATACTCCAAAAAACATACTAGCAAACCAAATTCAATAGCACATTAAAAGGATCATACACAGTTGTCAAGTGGAATTAATACCTGGGAGACAAGGATGGTATGCAGGTCGGTAAATGGGCTATACCACATTAAAGAATGAAGGATAAAACTCATGACCATCTCAATAGATACAGAAAAAGCATTTCACAAAATATAACATCCATTCATGATTAAAGAAATAACAAATTAGGGAAGAAATGTCCCTCAACCTACTAAAGGCCATATATGACAAGCCCACAACTAACATCATACTGAATGGTGAAAAAAGCTAAAGTCTTTTCCCTTAAGATCAGGAACAAGACCGTGGTGTCCACTCTTGCCACTTCTATTCAACATAGTAATGGAAGTGCTAGTCAGAGCAGTTACAAGAAAAAAAAAAAAGAAAATCATCCAAATTAGAAGTAAAATTGACTCTGTTTACAGACAACATGATCCTATATATTGAAAAAACCCTGAAGACGCCACCAAAAAAGTCATTAGATCTAATATATAAATTCAGTATAGCTATAGGATGCAAAATCAACATACCAAAATCAGTTGCATTTCTATCCGCTAACAACAAACTATTTGAAAAAGAAATGAACAGTCCCATTCACAAGAGCTTCAAAATGAATAAAATACTTAGAATAAATTTAACCAAGAAAGTAAAAAAAATTTTACACTGAAAACTAAAAATCATTGGTGAAGGAAATTGAGAAAGTCACATATAAATGTAAAGAAACCATCTTCATGAATTGGATGAAATAATAGTGTTAGAATGTCCATACTATCCAAAGCAGTCTTCAGATTTGATAAAATTCCTATCAAATTTCCAGTGGCATTTTTCACAAAAATAGAAAAAACAATCCTAAAATTCATAATGGGGGCGCCTGGATGGCTCAGTCAGTTAAGCATCTGCCTTTGGCTGCGGTCATGATCCTGGGATCCTGGGATCGAGAAGCCCTGTGACTGGCTCCCTGCTCAGCAGAGAGCCTCTTCTCCCTCCTTCTTCCACTCCCTCTGCTTGTGCTCTCTCTTTCTGTCAAATAAATAAATCCTAAAAAAGAATTCATAATGAATCTCAGAAGATTTTGAATAGACAAAGCAATCTTAAGAAGAGCAAGCTGAATGCATCACAGTTCCTGATTTCAAAAAATATTACAAGTCTTCAGTAATCAAAACAGTATGGGAGATACCTGGGTGGCTCAGTTGGTTAAGTGTCTGCCTTCAGCTCAGGTCATGATCCCAGTGTCCTGGGATTGAGTCCAGCATCAGGCTCCTTGCTCAGCGAGGAGCCTGCTTCTCCCTCTGCCTGCTGCTCCCCCTGCTTTTGCTCTTTCTCTCTCTGACAAATAAAATCTTAAATAAATAAGTGAAAGAAAAATTAAAAAATCAAAGCAGTATGGTACAGGCATAAAAAGTAGACATGTAGATCAATGGAAATAAATGCATTTATGGCCAGCTGATCTTTGACAAGAGTGCCAAGAACACACAATGGGGAAAGGATAGTGTTTTCAATAAGTAGTGTTGGGAAAACTGGATGTCCATATGCAGAAGAATGAAATTGAACCCTTATCTCACACCATATACAAAAGTCAACTCAAAATGGATTCAAGACTGAAATGTAAATTCTGAAACTGTAAAACTACTAGAAGAAAACAGGGGGAAAGCTTCTTGACGGTCTTTGCAGTGATTTTCAGATCTGACCCGATAAGTACAACTAACAAAAGCAAAAATAAACAAGTGGAATTACATCAAACTAAAAAGTTCCTGCATAACAAAGAGGAAAATCAAGAGTGAAAAGACCACCTAAAGCATAGGAGAAAATATTTGCAAGCAGTATCTGACAAGGAGTTAATATCGAAAATATGTAAGGAAGTTGAACAATTCAATAGCAAAACAAATAAACTGCTTTAGAAAGGGAGAAGGACCTGAAGAGACTTTTCTCAGAAGACATACAAATGGCCAACAGGTATATCAAAAGGTGCTCTTCATCACTGATCATCAGGGAAATGCAAATCAAAATCACATTGAGGTGTCCCCTCACACCTGTTGGAATGGCTATGAAAAAGACAAAAGATAGACTCCAGGTAAAGATGGCAGAGCACAGTTACAGCTTTTGGCTGACTGCATTCAGCAAATGTAAACTTACCCGGATTGAATATGCTTTCACTGCTGTAGCTGGAGAAGCCCCTCCAGTGGGAATTAAAGCTGCAAATAGTGTGGTATTAGCAACTGAGAAGAAACAAATCCATTCTGTATGATGAGCAAGGTGTACAAAAAGTGGAATCAATCAGGCTTGGTGTATAGTGGCATGGGCCCAGATTACAGAGTGCTTGTGTACAGAGCTCAAAAACTAGCTCAGTGATACTATCTCGTTTACCAAGAACCCATTCTAGCAGCTCAGCTGGTATAGTGATGCAAGCATATACTCAGTCAGGTGATGGTCATGCATTTGGAGTTTCTTTACTAATTTGTGGTTGGAATGAGGGGCAACTGTATTTATTTCAGTCAGAAATAAATATTTCAGCTCCAGTCATCTGGAGCTCACTTTGCCTGGTAAGCCTCAGCAATGGGAAAGAACTATGTGAATGGGAAGACTTTCCTCAAGAAAAATAACAAAGACCTGGAATTTGAAGATGCATTCATGTGGCCATATTAACCCTAAAGGAAAGCTTTGAAGGGCAGATGACAGAAGATAACATAGAAGTTGGAACCTGCAGTAAAGCCAGATTTAGGAGGCTTACTTCAACTGAAGTGAAGGATTACTAGGCTGCCATTAGCATAACGAAGTGATTGGAAAATCCAGAATTTCAGATAATCCTTTTTCTTAACCATGTTTAAAGTATGTTTTGGTTTGCAGGCTTTTTGCATACTTATTTCTACATGGCTTAATGGACTGATGTTTTTTATTTTATTTTATTTTATTTTTTTAAAGATTTTATTTATTTATTCATGACAGAGAGAGAGAGAGAGAGAGAGGCAGAGGGAGAAGCAGGCTCCCCTCAGAGCAGGGAGCCCGATGCGGGACTCGATCCCGGGACACTGGGATCATGACCTGAGCTGAAGGCATATTAATAACATTCATAAATCATAATGAATATGATATCATATGAATAACATTCATAAATGAATATGATAATCATATGAATAACATTCATAAATCATAATAAACTGTTAAATCAAAAAAAAAAAAAGACAAAAGATAACCAGTGTTGGTGAGGATATGGAGAAAAGGAAACCCTTGTACATTGTTGGTGGGAATGTAAATTGGTACAACCACTGTGAAAAACTGTATGGAGGTTCCTCAAAAAAGTTTAAAAACTACCATATGATCCATTTCTGGGTATATATCCAAAGGAAACAAAATCGCTATCTCAAAAAAATATCTACACTCTTACATTCATTGCAGTATTATTCACAGTAGACAAGATATGGAGACAACCTAAGTGTCCATTAACAGATGAATGGATGTTGCGGGTGGTGAATAGATGGATATTTATTTCTAGTTATCCCCCCAGTTCTCTATTTTTTTCTTACAATTTGTTGAAAACCTAGGTTGTTTGTATTCTAGTTTCCTCTGCCTGCATGCATATATGTGATGCCATTTACCTTGTTTCTCTGTCCCATGTAATTCCTAAAAACTAATAATCAAATCAAGAGGCTTGACCTGATCCAGTTCACATTTTTTTGTAAGAATTCTTTATAAATCGTAATATTTTGGACTTCAGTTTGTAGGCACATAATATGTGATTATTTCTGATGTTAGCTTCTTTCTGATTTTATCATTTGATGATCATTGCCTAGATCTGTCATTTCATTAGGAACTTTATCAGCCAAAGTTGAAATAGGGAAAAAAAGCCAAAGTATTATGGAAATTAAAGACCTTATATATTCCCTCTGACACGTATTGACCAGATAATGTTCGCAGTATTTGATTAGCAGGATTGAAAAAATGGAAATTTTTAAAGATAGGAATAAAAATTAGCAATATATTGAAGCAATATACGTTTGAAGGTTGGGTCACCCAGTAATCCATTGTGGAGAAAGTTCAAGAAATATAACCTATTTAAACTGATAAAACAAGAGGCTTATAGAACTGGAAGTTTATTTTTTAAAAAAATTTTAAGTCATATAACAGGAAAATATGAAATAGGTCTTATTGTAATTTAGTAATATAGACAGCTAATGTGTCTTCTTATGGAGTTGATTGAAGTAATAAAGGAATTTTGATCATTACCTACATCACCTTCCTTACCATTAGCTTCAGTTTATCCCCTTGAAGTCTTTGTTACACAGTGATTCTCACTGTTAGCAAAATTTGAAAAAAAGTTTCACATAGATTTTCTAGGTGAGTGGTAACAGTTCAGTTTATTAGATGAGATTGCTAAATTGGTTGTATTTGCCTGGGATAATACAACATTGTGAAACTACATAGCTTAAGTCTACAGTGAAGAGTAATGGGTTGGAACAAAGAATACAAAAGTCTATACTATAAAACATAACTTCTTGACTTTCATTACAGATCATTAAGTTTAAAGGTTCCTTTTGTTTTTTTAATCAGTTCCTCAGAAGAGATATCACGTTGCCAAGAAATGATTCAGAAACTTCAAAACATATTGGAGTCTGAGAGAGAGAACTGTGGATTTGTCAGTGAACAAAGGCTGAAACTTCAGCAAGAAAATGAACAGTTACAGAAAGAGACTGAAGATTTAAGAAAGCTTGCTCTCGAGGCTCAAAAAAAAGCCAAATTAAAGGTATTTTGAAGACTAGTTAGAGTTAAATGTGTACTTGTGAAAGTCAAAATATAAAAAGTATTTAGAGAGACCCAGTAAAACATTTTTAAGGCCTTTTTTTTTTTTTGCCTTTTCATCAGATAGCATTAAATCATAATGCAGAGCATTAACCAGTCTTTTTTGTATTGTAGAATTTGGCAAGCGTACTTGAAAATGATTGCTTTCACTATCCACACACACACAAAATTCTTTGCAACCATGAAATACACTGATATTCCTGCCAAAGCAATTTAAGCAGTGCTAGCAAAACTATAGATTAGATAACTTTATAGACTACCATCCTCTCTTCTTCTATAATAGCCTCTTAAAAATTGAACTCTAAAACTAGCTTTATAGAGGATGCTACATCAGTACGCTCTGAGAACCTCTCATACGTAGTCTAAAATTTCCATACTAGGAGGAAGGCAAGGGACAAAAGTCTCCTTTAGAAAAAAAATTCTCCTTTATTGTCACTCTCTTTTCCTCCTTCCTCATGCTAATGTTTAACATGCTTTGACAATAGGAACAAGATAACCTGTTTAAGGGAGTTTCAAGAAGCACCGGTATCATCTTCACCATGTTCCTTGCCCTTACCCCATTCCATGCAACTTTTATATAAAAGTTGTCATTAACTCTTTATGATAAAGACCTATATCTTCCAGTTTCATAGAAGGGATATGAGGTGGCAGTATTCATGTTTCACTTTGTTTTTTGTTGCTCTATACTCGTAAGAAGTCACATTCCAGTCTAATTCATATCAACACATTTATTGAATGCCTCCTACTGCAAGCATCAAACATTAGTTATTTATAAAAGCTTGAACTCTGAAAGAGGGCCTTATATCATACAGAGAGGTTTCTACTTTATGCTTTAGTCTGTGGGGATTCAAGACTTGATATAAAGCTATAGTAATTAAGACAGTGTGCTGTCAGTATAATAATAATTAGCTTGATCAATGGAACAAAACAGAGTCCAGGAACAAACCCGTTTTTCATAATCACTTCATTTGTAACAAAAGCACCACTGTAGTTCAATATGGAAAGAATTATCTTTATAATAAATGATGCTAGATCAGTTGGGTCCATATTTTAAAAATAAACCTTGACCCCTATATCATACCATACATTTAAATTAATTTGAGCTGCCTTGTAGACCTAAATGCAGCATATAAAACAATGGAGCTTCATAGAGAAAATCTTCATGATCTTGGGTAAGAAAGAATTTCTTAATGAGAACACAAAAGCAATAATCATAACATAAAGATTAATTGGATTTCATTAAATTAATATTATTGAGTCATCAAAAGACACCACAGTACAATGCTGACTCTGGTTTGCCAGTTTTGCCTATTAAAAATCACAATCTAAATTGTCAAAAAAAAAAAAAGATACCATTAAGAGAGTGAAAGTGAAAGAAAGTATAATACAAGAAGTATTTGTAATACATAAAATATAGATAATACATGTGTAATATAATATTTTATAATACAATAATATAATATATAAATAGGCATTTATATATATAATACCAACAAAAAAGGACTAATATTTAGAATATAAAAACTGTTACCAATTAATAATGATAAAACCACAATTAATAAGGAAAAAACAAGCACCCTATTTCCAAAAATGGGCAAAAAACTGAAATATGCACTTCACAAAAGAGAATATATGAAAAAATGTTCAACTGCATTATTTATCAACAAAATATAATTAAAATTACAATGAGGTACCACTGCATACTGACCAGAATGGCTAAAGTTCAAAAAAAACTAAGAGCATCAAGTGTTGACAAAGATAGATGTAAAGCAACTGGAACTTCCATACAATACTTTGGGAATGTAAGTTGATATAACCACCAGTTAGCGGTGTCTTTTAAAGTTGGACATACATACATACAATGCCAAATAAAGCTGGCTTCATACCCACAGATATGAGTGCTTATGTTCATGAAAACACGCATACAAGAATATTCATAGAAGTTTTAATCCTGTCAAAAATTGAAAATAACGCAAATGTCCATCCACATGAGATTACATAAATAAATGGTGGTGTACTCAAATCATGAAATAGATAGCAGGAATAAAAAAGAATGAACTATGTCTATAAGTAATAATGGATGAGTCTCACAGACCTAATGTTGAACAAAGAAGCCAGACATAAAAAAGCTCATAGTCTATTAATTTCATTATATAAAAGTGAAGAATAGGCATAATTACCTATGAGGGTGAGATCAGAATAGCAGTTACATTTTCGAAGGGTAAGTAATGATTAGAAGGGCATATGAGGGAGCCTCGGGGGGGGCATCTAAATCAGGGTGGTGACTCTGATATGTCAGGATATTTGTAAAACTTGAGTTGTACCCCTAAGACTTATGTAGTACATTGTAAGCAAAAGATAAATCTTGGCAAAGGAAGGTCAGTAGAATTGTAGATAAAACAAGAACAGTTTTGAGTTTGATGCTTGTGGAAGCTGGGTGATAGGCATATACGGATTCGTTGTAATATTCTGTTTTGTGTATGCTTGAAAGTTCTCATACTAAAACATTTCCATAATAAAATAAGTCCGTGTACTTTGGTGAAAAAATGTTATATCTTTCTCTTATATTTTAAATTTCATATTATAAATTTCATATGGATTAATAACTAAAAGCTACTAGTGAAACTATAAAACATTAGTAGGAAATGTAGGCAAATGTATAACTGATAGATGAAAAAGAACTTTCCTAACAAAACAAAACCAAAAAAAAAAAAGAAGAAATTGCAAATGAATATATTAATAGATTTAAATATATAAAGTTTTTAAATATTTAGAACCATTTTTTAAGTGTTTAGAAAAATAACTGGGGGAAATAATTTTAGTAAATATATCAAAAGACAAAAACCATATAAGGAGCTTTGAAAAATATTAAAGAAGAATATTTGTAACCTATAAGAAAAACATGTATGAGACATGAACAGAACTCACAAACTAAGGAAACAAATTGCTAATGAACAATTTTTAAAGTTTAAACTCACTGTTGATTAACTGCATGGTTACCAGTGTGAGTAAATGTGCAGCTGAGAGTTTACAATGGTACAGAGTCTAAAATTTGTTCATAAGAAAATAATTAGGATATTTCATAATTTAAAAAATTCATTGCAGCATTATTCATAATAACAAATTAGAGACAACCTCTCTAGAAATAAAGGAACAATGAAATACTTTGAGTCATCATTAAAAATTGTTTCCAAATAATTTGTAATGCTTTTATATTGCTGTGTTCTAGGTTTAAAAATAATAAAAACTTCTGAATATATATTTATATATATATTGCAATTCCATATACACTAATCTAAATTCTAAAATTCATAAATAAAAACAATTATGTAGAAGTAGAGGTGGTTTTCTCTGAGTTGTAGATTACAGAGACCTTACATTTGTTTTTAATTTTTTTATTTTCCATTATTTTACAATATACATCTGTTTTGGGGTTTTGGTTTTTATAATGGGGAAGAGACAAATCAATGACTTTCCCTTACCTGGTACTACATTCTATCTATCTTTAACAGTTCAGGATAGTAATTGATATTTTAGAGAACAAAAGAATGACCAAAAGCTTATCTATCCCACATGTCCCACCAAAACTGCTCCCTTTTTGCCAAGTCTGCATCTAGCTTAAGAATTATTGGTAAATAAAGGGCAGAACCTCTTAACTAACTAGATAGCTGTAAATTCTGTTTTATAAAGGAGAATCACTGTCAGATAACTGCTGCTTTGTAGCTGATTCCTTCTTTGCCAACATAGGAAACTAGTGCTACACTTCGCTGCTTTTCTTCCCCTTGAAAAAGAGTGTGATCTTCCATAGACAAACTGAAAGGAGCCAAAAAGATCAAGACAGTTGGATATTGAGAGGTCAGTTGGCTGAGAACCTTACAACTTATTATATGAAACTTTCATTTGATCTTAAGGCTACTGCATTCCTTTCAGCCCTAGCTTTCCCCTTTTCTAACTTCTCTGTTTTTTCTGCCAGGGCTCTCCATTTCTTTGTGTCTAAATTCTCCTCATAAGTACATAAAATTAGGAAATGGATAGTTTTAGTATTCCAGTCTATTTGTGTGAGTGGTTCTCTGCAGAGGAAGAACACAAAGGAAAACGGGAGGGAGACCATAAATCCTTTCTTCCTACCAATATACCGAATTTAATCATCAGTTACATTTTTGTTATAGGAGACCTGGTTGTAGCCCAGAGTCTTCCAACATCACTGCCGGCCTGTCCAGTTTAACAACTGGGATTTTATCAGCTAAAGGATCTGGGGAGTGTTTAAAGACTAAATTTTGATACCAAAAAGCGATCATTCACTCTGTCTACACAGTGTTTTGATGACTTTACTATGTTTCGGGTGCTGAAGATACAATGAAGACATGATCCCTCTGACCCAGCCCCCTCCTTAAAAACATAATTTTTGCATGGAGATGGGCAAACTTTTAACATACATTTACAAACTAATAAATGCACTTTAGGAAAAACTTAGGGCCCTGTAGGAGCTTATAACGGAGGGACCTGATTTTGTCTAGATAGAAGCAATAATTGAGCTAAGTTTTAAAAGTTGGTGGGGGTGCCTGGGTGGCTCAGTCGGTTAGGTGGCTGCCTTCAGCTCGGGTCATGGTCCCGGGGTCCTGGGATCGAGCCCCGCGTCGGGTTCCCTGCTCAGCGGGAGGCCTGCTTCTCCCTCTCCCACTCCCCCTGCTTGTGTTCCCTCTCTCACTGTCTCTCTCTGTCAAATAAATAAATAAAATCTTTAAAAAAAAGAAAAGTTGAATACAAATAACTAAGGCAAGCAAGAGGGGTAAGATTATTCCAGGCACAGGGAACAACATGTGAAAATGAGCCAAGAATGAGACGGCATTGTGACAGAAACAAAGAAAGAGTAGGTAATAGTGGCATAACACAAGCTTATAGAAGTAGGCAGAGACCAGGTTATCATGAAGGACCTCGGAACAAGGCTTGTCAAATTACAAATAGGTTTTCCAAGAGGAAATGGGGAGCTAACTAGGCAGGCTGACTTCTAAAACTATATAGATGCATATATCAGTTTTTAATATATATGTGAGAAAGACAAAGACAGAAACACACAGTTCAGCCTAACATAACCATGGCTTCTCCAAAGTTGAGATTGAGGCAGAGAAGGAGAAGGAATATATTCAAATCTAAATTTATAGAATCCAATAATAAAAAAATTAGTAAAGTAGCAGGAGTCAGGGAGCCTCAGGAGGCTTTAGTACAGTACAGAATTAATAAATCCACGGTGGTTTTCCCAGTATTTAGGGCCAGTATTTAGAAAGTCCTAAATTTCTACTTGTGTACTATTTGAGAAAGAAAATTTAAGCAATTTAGGAAACACGTTGCATTTAAGCAGAAGTAGTAAGAACAGTGTGTTTGCAGTTTACCCCACAAACCATGGATTTTGCTCTTGTTGGGTTTTCCTTGGTGTTGAGAAAGTTGAGTCCCTGATTCATCCTTTTTTGATTTTGAAAGTAGCCATATTTAATGAATTATTAGAAGCTATACCAGCTGTAATGATTTTTAAAGCACATTACTTTAAAATACCACAATATGTTCAAGGGGCGCCTGGGTGGCTCAGTTGGTTAAGCGACTGCCTTCGGCTCAGGTCATGATCCTGGAGTCCCGGATCGAGTCCCGCATCAGGCTCCCTGCTCGGCAGGGAGTCTGCTTCTCCCTCTGACCCTCCTCCCTCTCATGCTTTCTGTCTCTCATTCTCTCTGTCTCAAATAAATAAATAAAATCTTTAAAAAAAAAAATAAAATAAAATAAAATAAAATAAAATACCACAAGATGTTCTTTATAATATTTCTTTAGTAAGATAAAGATGGCCCTAGAGTACACCAAAGAACTTCTTCGTGACTATTTTCTCAATTGCCTCCAGGATGGTAATAGGTAGTTTCATTCTAGATGCATGGAAGAGAAGGCAATTCATTACATACATTGAATGCCAGAGAGCATTAGGGCTTCATTTTCTCCCTGATCCCCAGTCAAGAAAACTTCTAGAGTATCCAAAGAGCATTTACTTATATGTTTATTCTGCATTAGGGTATTTTTACTATAATGACATAAATTACCTAGAGATAATGGAAGATATTTCCATATGAGACTCTGAAAATCATTAGTCTTTTTTTCCTGAAAAAAAAAGTATATATCATAACTGAAGTGGTAAAGGACTTCTTGTATATGATTTTCTTTACAAAACCCTTTGAAAGACAATTTGAAATTTAGTATAAAGTGACTTGAGATTTTGAGTTGTTGAACACATCAAGGTGCCAAGAGGGTGGTGCACTTGGGGAGGTTGTAGAAGCTCTGTAATTTTTTTAATGGCTTGAGTAAAAAACTCTCAGTTACTGACAGCATGAATATTTTCCATGGATTCTGGCAACAGAAGTTAAAGTATAATAAGAACGGTTTATATTAGATAGTTTACTTTTTTCCTATTGGCAGTTAAGGTGTTGAAGAAAGTGTTGCGAAAAAATTGTAGTCCATCATAATTTTTGTTTCACTAAATTTATATTGTACTATAAATTTATATATATAATTACATATAAATATATAATTAATATAGGATAAGTCTTCATTTGTGATGAAGACATAAACTTAATTTTTATATAGATTACTCATCCAAACATTTCTGTGCCTCAAACAACACAATGAATGATTTCTTTTGTGTATTATCATTGATCAGTATATCTCTTTTATAACAGAAAAGAAAAAGAAGGATACTGTGTTCATTTTATTCCTTAGATCAGTACAATGGAACATGAATTTTCAATAAGGGAACATGGATTTGAAGTTCAACTGAGAGAGCTGGAAGATAGTAATCGAAATTCCACTGTTGAACTGAGGCATCTCTTAGTGACTCAACAGAAGGCGGCCAATAGGTGGAAAGAAGAAAGAAAGAAACTTACTGAAAGTGCAGAAATTAGAATCAGTAATCTAAAGTAAGTCCACTATTAATTGTTTGATACATTTTACAGAATAAATTATTTAACATTTAATGGTCCTTGCCGTAATCTTGTAAAAATCTTGTATTTTTATTAAGCAAATATTATTGAACTGCTGTGAAAAATATTAAGCATTATAAACCGAAACTCATACTATGTATTTTTGTAAATTTTATGCATATTCCACAAAATATAATGATTTTTGTTGGACATAGTTTAGAATCTTAATACTCTTTGCATATAGGCATAGCATAATAATGTTTTATGGTTGGGCAGCAGGATCTGATTGATTTGCAAAGCCTAAAGTATTTGCTCTGTGGCCCTTGGAGAAAAGGTTTGCTGACCCCTGCCCAGAAAGTACTTGAGCTTTTAGGCTGAATACAATGGGATGCTGTGGAAGGCTTTGAGCAAAGTGATATGATCAGGCTTAAATGTTCAACAAATCAGTTTGATTGCAGTTTGAAGAATAGACTGTAGAGGGGCAAGGGTAGAAGGGAGAAGGTAGGCGAGTACTGTATAATAGATAGATAAAATGTAACTTGGATTAGATTTTAAAGGGTTGGAGATCATTAAAAAAAAGTTTGAGCCATGTTAAATATGAGCTGCCTAGAAAACATTTAAATCAGGATATCAGCTAGTCAGCTGAGTCTGTAAGTTTGGAGTTCAGGGAAGAGATTGCAGCAGGAGCTATAAATGTGGGAGTCATTAACATACACGTGATTTTTTAAGTCATGGGATGAGAACATGTAGAAAGGAAGTCTAGATAAATTAAACTAAGGACTGAGTTCCAAAAGTTAAAGTCTGGAGAGATGAAAATTCCACACTGCAAGAGACTGAGAAAGAATATCCAGAGAAGTAAGAATCATGATAGAATGGTTAAAAAAAAAAATTATTTTTCAGAAGGAGTATAAGCAATAATAATAGGTGATATTTACTTACTAGCACATGTTTGTTGTTCTAAACAACTTACATGCACATAATTAATCTTGACAGCAACCCTACAAAGTGGATAACACTATCATTTACATTTTACAGATAAAGAAACTGAAGCTGAGGGAGGTTAAGGAACTTGTTCAAAATCACATAGCTAACAAAATGACCAGTAAAGACAGTATGCTCTTAACCATTGTTTTATAAAATGCTACTGAGTGGTTGAGTAAAGTGAAGACAGAGAATGGACCTTTTAGTTTGGCACCCTCTGATGGTCTTTGTTAACCATGATAAGAGCAGTTTTGGTAGAATGCTGGAATAAAAATGTATTTAGAATGAATTTAAGAGAAGAGAATTTCTGCTTCTAGTTTAATGGTGAGCTAGGTAATTGGAACCTCTACCACAACTAAAAAAATTAGATGAATTATAAAAAGCATCTACTAAGAGCATTGAAGAACTAACAAAAATAATTATTACCAATTTGACCTTATCCCAGGAATGCAAAATTATTAAAACATTAGAAAATAAGTTAATATAATTTATCACATTAAATTTTTAGAAGAGAAAAATCATAAGGTCTCCTCAACAGATACAGAAAAGGCATTTGATAAAATTAGATATCCACTTATATTTCAAAATAACTCTTAGCAAACGAGGAATAGAATTTCTTTAATTTTGTCAAGGTATCTATTCTAAAGAAACATTATTTTTAATGGCAAAAAAAATGTTAGTAATTTTCCTTTGAAGATTGGGAAGATAACAAAGAAGTTCATTATTACCACTTGTATTAATATTTGTATCAGAAGTCCTCATCAGTGCACTGTGGCAAGAAAATGAAATAGAAGGTATACAAACTAGAAAGGAAGAAAGAAAACAGTCATTCTTCACAGACAACATGACTGTATATGTAGTAAGTCCAAAATAATTAATAGATAATAGGCAAATATACAAAAATCAATTGTATTTCTACATATCTGCAACAAATACTTCAAAACAAAACTTTAGTAAAATTTACAGTGCATCAAAAAACATCAGATGCTCAGGAATATAACAACGTGTGAGATTTCTACATGAGAACTATGATAGCAGGAAGATTAAAGAAGGCCTAAGTAAATAGAAGTCAAGTTAATTGATCAGAATACTCAATGTTATGAATTTGTTAACAACCCCCCCCCCACCCAGCCATCTGTAGATTCAGTGTAATCCCAGACAAAATCCTAGCACATGGAGCAGTATCCAAAATATATTAAGTGAAAAAACAAATTTTATACAGTACGTATAGTATTTCTGCCCTTTAAGAGGGGAAAGTGTTCGTGTGTGTGTGTGTGTGTGTGTGTGTGTACACATATATATACAAGCATGCTGTACATACACTACGTTCATATACATATGTGCACATTCTCTTCTTAAAAATAGAGAGGTGACCAAAACAATAATTAAAATGGTTCTCTATGAGGAGGGAGAAAGGAGTAAAGGATGAAGGCTAGACTTCTTTGAATGAACCTTGTCTTATAGATATATAGGCTTGAGTTTGAAACTATATAAATGTTCATATAATTATCTTTTAAATTAAATCAAAATTTTGTAAAAAACTAAAAATCGAAAGTAAAATTAAACAAATGAACTTAATTGTGTAGGAAGCTGATGGCTTAACTACACAAATAAATTATTTCAAGTGACATTAAACACAGTAATTAGACTGTATATCCCCCCCCCCCAAAAAAAAAGACTATATCCCTAGTGAGATAAATCCTAAGGATAAAATAAAATGTAAAAAACCATAAATTGCTTTTAGTAGTTATATCATTAGAAATAATATTGGTGTTATTATTCTGAAACTTATAATTACAAGATAAAGGCATTGAGTAATTATAGAAATGCCTTTAAGAACCAAGATTTTTATAATAAGAGGGAAGAAACTCAAATTAAATAAAACTTGTATTTCTACATTGAAATTGGGAATATTATCATGGGAACTCAAGATGTGTTTTACTCTTAAAAACATGTATTTCCTGGCTCTGTCCACTTAAGGGACCTAAGAGGCAGTGACCAGTATTCAGTTGCAATGAGGTATCCTGAAAGAAACCAGGACTCTAGAGAAATGATTGATTACAGATCTAGGATAGAAAAGTATAATATGAGTCTAGAAACTGTGGAAAGAGCCGAGATGCCCTTCAACAGACAAATGGATAAAGAAGATGTGGTCCATATATACAATGGAATATTACTCAGCCATCAGAAAGGATGAATACCCAATTTTTGCATCAACATGGATGGCACTGGAGGAGATTATGCTAAGTGAAATAAGTCAAGCAGAGAAAGTCAATTATCATATGGTTTCACCTATTTGTGGAACATAAGGAATAGCATGGAGGACACTAGGAGAAGGAAGGGAAAAATGAAGGGGTGGAAATCAGAGGGGGAGACGAACCATGAGAGACTGTGGACTCCGGGAAACAAACTGAGGGTTTTAGAGGGGAGGGGTTGGGGGGATGGGTTAGCCTGGTGATGGATATTAAGGAGGGCATGAATTGCATGGAGCACTGGGTATTACACACAAACAATGAATCATAGAACACTACATCAAAAACTAATGTATGGTGACTAACATTAAAAAAAAGAGAGAGAGAAAAGAAAAGAAACACTTTGAGGTAGCAAAAGGGGAGGAAGGTATCAAGATTATTTGGGTCATGTCAGAAGGACCCAGGAGCCCACTTAAGTAGGCCCCCTCTGGCTGATGTGGGAACAATTTGAACATCAAAGAGTATCTGCAGTAAATTGAAACATGTCAAATATATTAAAAACCCATGACTTCAGAATGATATTAAATAAAGAAAAAAAGCCTTTGGTCACCTTTGGAAGATCCTATGGAACCAGCTCTTTTTGAAAAAAGATAAAGGGAAAAATCAGGCTTTTATTGTACCTTTCCTTTACTCACTATACTTCATGAAATGCTTCTTGGCCTTTCCTACCATAATAGCCCTTACTTCACTGATTGGGGAACCAGCGTAGGGATTTTGCCAGTTAGTTGCTCAATGTGTCTGTTCTGATTATGCATCCCAGAACCAGGGAAATAAACACAGAATAGGATTATAGACACACTAGTTGTGAGACTTAGGCCAAGACTTCACTGATGACCTGATCTGCATAAACCTCTCCTGGTTGGTGGACCACAGTGCTATTTGGGGTCTCTAGGAATTTTTTCAGCAACAGTGTCCAGTAATCTGAAAATGTCTGGATTCCTCCTTCCCCACTGCATGGTCACCCTGCTAACTCCTCACAGATCCCTTAGGGGAAGGCCAGGAGGAAGTATGTATGGGAACCTGCAGCCCCTTTCTTTATTCAAGAGGCTTTGAGTCTGTGAACTGACTCAAGTTTGAGAAATGGTTATATGGCTGTGACACTTTCTTGTAGTGATTCAAGTCAGGTTTGATTCTACTTCTCCAAATCAAATAGATTTGGGTGGGTCTACAAATAGTAGACCACCCATCTATTTCAGTTCTAGGGTCACAGTGATCAAACTTGTAGCAAATCCCAAAGATCTCTGCAGATCAGACTCTCCAGATAACTAACTTCAACTTTGCTGCCCATTCTAGTAATGATGACCACATTTTCTTTGGAGATTTAAGGCTGCTACATCACCCTTGCCATTGAGAATCCTATCATCAACATTGAGTTCAGGAAGCCCAGATCCATGATAGCAGTTGTCATTTCTGTTCCACAGTGAATAATATACAGAGCACTGCAGGGATACTGGAGCAACTCTCATGACTGTATTTCACACAGTCTTCATGGAGAAAATGTCCTCTGGACCCTCCTGAGGGTCAGAGTTGAAGGATGGAAGAGCTGCTTTTACATTAAAAAAAAAAAAAAAAAAAAAAAACCTCACTGTTGTCTTCCAATCTCCCCCAGCCTTTAGTAACTTCCTCTACACTACTGATTCTCAGATGGGGATTACTTCATCCTTCTCCCCTCCCTGGAACATTTGTCTTAAAAATATCCAAAGACATAAGGATGATTCTGGATCTAGTGTACAGAGGCCAGGGGTGCTGCTAAACATCATATAA